CAAAGCCGCCCCGCAGTCCCCCAGCGTCCCGAAGCAGCCCGGGCCTCCCGTCATGACCTCTGACCCCAACATGCTCAGCAACGAAGAAGCTACAGCTCATGTGAGTGAGAAGCTGACAGTCGATGCTTATTTCTTGCCAGAGCAGTGCAGATGATCTGGATTATTAATGAAAATATGTTGTTCCGTTGTAGTTTGAGCAGATTCTCGGTCTGGCTCAGAGGTCTCAGGACGAGCTGTTTCACATCGCTCTGTACAACTGGCTGATTCAGGCCGACCTCACTGACAAGTTACTGGAGGTACAGTATCTGTCCATGTGTGTTTGTCTTTTTTATGTGAAATTGCATCGTAAAGGAACAATATGTCACACTGATGGTTAGTGTATGAAATGGGTACTAAAGGCCAAATTCAAAATTTTGGAGAGATTTGAAGATCACACGGGTCTCCAGGTTGATGACACTGAACCGAAAAGAGCGAAAGTCACAAAATTGAATAAATGGTGTTAAACAGCAGTGGGTCGTTTGTGACTCCAATCATAGCAGTTAGCATGACGCTGTTAGCCAGCACTAGTCGGGATCACTGCACCACCTGTGATTTTTAATGCAGTTTATGTTTGTGTATCCAAGCTTTTCTTTCACCCAGACCTTTTTAAATGAGCACATCATCCAGATGTCATTGCCCCACGAGTTGTTGTTGTCCTGATGATTTGAGACACTTCACAGGTGTTTGTGTAATTACACGCCATATGTCTGATAGCTGTCCTTTTTATTTGTTGTCCAGGTGAATTCTCTGTACCTGGAGGAGCACCTGATGCATATGATCAAGCAGGACCAGAGCAAGGTGCACAACATGGACCTATTGTGGCGCTACTACGAGAAGAACCGCAACTTTGGCAAGGCGGCTCATGTACTGGCCCGTCTCGCTGACATGCACAGGTTTGGACACAGAGACGCCGGTGACCACATATACAGCATATGCACTCCATGGACTCTTTTCAGTTCTTATTTAAATGCTCTCTTGTTTCTGCAGCACTGAGATCTCATTGAAGCTGCGTTTGGAGTATATTGCGAGAGCCATCCTGTCTGCTAAGAGTTCCTCGTGCATCTCGGCTCAGGCCTCTGATGGAGAGTTCCTTCACGAGCTGGAAGAAAAGATGGAGGTACGTCTGCGTTTGTGATCACGGTTTGAGTAATCCACGAGGGATTCGGCGTTGTAACCACTCGGTTTCTGTGTTTGGTTCCTTTTCTTCAGCTGGTGCGTATCCAAGTACAGATCCAGGACACCCTGATCAGACAGTACTCCCATCATCCCTCCGTGAAAAATGTTATCGCTCAGTTGGATTCAGAGCTTATGGACATCACAAAGGTAACACGCAGCAGAACAATAGGGAGTCGGGGATTATAAAGAATCTTTCATTAACGTTTCTAAATGCTGAACATGTGTTCTCTGGTGCAGCTCTACGGGGAGTTCGCCGACCATTTCAAATTGTCCGAGTGCAAGCTGGCAATCATTCACTGTGCGGGACACTCCGACCCAATCCTGGTGCACTCGCTGTGGCAAGAGATCATGGAAAAAGGCGAGTGGTCACCACCAAACCTTTTTTTAATAATGCGCTTCCTCTGCCATATATGACATTTTAATGATTGTTTTTGTCTCGTCTAGAGCTGGGAGACAGCGTCGCTATGAGTCCAGCAGACAGGATGAGGTCTCTCAGTTTGAAGCTGGTGTCACTGGGAAAGAGTTACGCCGGAACACCGAGATATTTCCCTCTGGGTGAGCGTTCGTACCTTCCTGTAATCATGTTCAATTTTCCTCTCGTCAGAACTTTCCACCTTGCAGTTTACTAATTTGTAATATAATTTGACTTCCCCGTTGCATCATTTATGTCGTCATGCCTCGGCGGTACAGGCCTGCAGGGTCACGCTGGTGCTCTTGGTGATTGCTTAATTATCCTCTCATTACAAGCAGCCTGTTCAAACCTGTTCTTCTCTGTGGAGACTGATTCATTTCAAATGCATCCTCGCTACTTGCATGCACAGAATCAATTATGTCAAACTCAAAAAAAATGTCCCCCCCAGTGATGTACAAAGTGCTGAGTATGCAATGCTAACAAGTGCCGATACGTCCTTTTTGGTTGTAGAGTTCCTCGTAAAGTTTCTGGAGCAGGAGGTGTGTCGACTCCACTGGGACGTGGGCTTCGTCACCTCCACCATGCAGGAGATCGGAGTGCAGCTGCCACGTCTTCTGGAGGTTTATGACCAACTTTTCAAAACTCGGGTACGTGCTTCAGATTCATCATGTTTCAATGCATCACTTTTTTGCCCTCGGATTGAGGATTAAATTGCCTCCTTGCTTAATCCACCGCTCTGCCTCATCCCCTCTTTCCTGTAGGACCCCTGTTGGCAGCGGCTGAAGAAGCCGCTCCACCTGGTGGAGTGCATCCACGTGCTTCTGTCCGGATACGTGGACGATCCCAGCAGAGTACCAACCTATGACAGGTGAGCACAGTCTGAGGAGCTGCTCCATTTCTGGCCTGTAGTGGGCGCTGTGGTGTTTACAGGGACGTTAGCATGAGGCCTTCTACACAGGAAGACAAATGCTTCACAAACGGTTAGTTTGATGAACGCAGAACTTTTAGGATAACGGTGTCTCCGGTGAGAGCAGCTATATTATTACCATTTGGGGGGGGGAAATGGCTCTCATCTTGATCACACACGGGTGTTTTTTTGCAGTTTCTAAACAACACATCATGTCTGTCAATCACTTGTGTGCTACCAGCAGCAGACGAGCGGATATAAAACCTTACTGTGAACTCCAGATGCCCACTGTCTAAGATTGATGCTTATTGTTTGCGACAGAACTACTTTTCAAAGGGATTTATGCAAAGGAAAGGTTCACATTTTACTTTAAGTGTTTCTTAAAACAATGCTCACATGGCCGTTGGTTCATTTAACTGTTAATTGGTCACTGTAATTCCTCCTGTCAATACTGTCAATGTAACAGTAACGGATGGATAGTGGATTCCTCCCAAAGTGTCTTTCAGTTCAACACTGTCTGGGGAAATAATAGAACTTCACTGCTTGATTTGACTAACTCAGACTCCGGACTTCCTCATATTAGCTTCAGCAAGGTGCATGTTGTGTTACTGAACCTGTCAACATCTGCAACAAACCCACAGTGGACTTGGTCTAACCTCTTGTTTTCCCTCCCGTCTCAGACGCCGGTTCACCAACGTGTGTCTAGACGACATCTGTGGATACCTCGTGGAGCTGCAGTCCCTGAGCCCAAACGTGGCCCTTCAACAAACCATCGGCAACTTCAAGTCGCTGCAGGCGAAGCTGGAGAAGCTCCACTGAACTCTCCTCATGACGTTTATTCACAGGACGAGCAACAGCTCACGTCTGGATCTGGCACTTGTTGGCCTGAATCAAGCGGCTGATTTAAAAGTGATTCCACGACAACACGATGCTTGTGTTCCACAGTCGAGTTTGCCTCTTTCTCTCTTCAGTCTGATGTGTTGCAGCGAGCAGACGACGGTAATGTAAGACAGAAGAGACAAGTTTTATAACTTATTTAATACATTTTGTTATGAATCTAAACATGATGCTGAAATACAACGTAGGAAAGCAAGGCTGTTGGTTATTTGCATTGTGTGCAAATAGCTTTGTCTGAAAGATGCATATCTAAAAATGACAAAATATTTTCAGTTCCTTGTGTTGATAAAAACATGAAATCTCTGAATTTTAAAGGTGAGTTTTCATATATTGAAAATGCACTCATGGACGATTGATTTTGGATATTTTTATTTGGATCCGCTTGCTAAATATATCCGACTAAAGCCTTTTGAATCATTTTGACTGTTCCGCGTTAGCCTCCAAACAAACAGTTGGGGTTTGGATGTTGTAATTATGTACATAACTTGGCCACAATGTTGTCTCTTCTGCCAAAGGTCATGCACACACACCGAAACGTTTTTGTTTTTCATGTTTATTATTTAGAGTGAGCATTTTTTGTCTTCTCGGCCGATACGTTTAACAGTGATTTTGTGATTGTTTTGAATGCAGAACACATTTCTAACACGGTGCGGTTCACAGTGCTATGCTGCAACATTTTTATGAAGAAATAAAACTTGTTATTGATCTTGTGTATGAGGATGTTTTTGAAAACTTTATACAGAAACTAGTTGCCTGTAAACCAACAAACTCGTGTATTAACTTGCCTTGGGTTCTGATGTTACACTGCAGAGGGAGTGCAGTGATGGACTTAATGTCTTCACTTTTTGTGTTTACATAATTATGTTTAATTGAAACACACATAGGGTTTCTAACTGTCATCACCAACAGGAATTGCTGCAGTAATTGCTGATGGTTTTTTTCCTCCAATTTGCCATGCACTCTAGTGCACAATTATGCTAAATTTATAGCCTTATGAAAAATTAAATATTTTTTACGTTATGCTGGATTGATTTCTCTCTTAATGACAGTGAGTCAGTGCATTTATACCATACATAACGTTTAGCAGATAAGACTAATAACACAATACAGTCCCACCGCTTCACTCTATTGTAGCTCACTTCGAATGTTTAAAGTCTTTAGTTTAGTGTGAGCAGCAATATTATATTTTTACCTTCTATGACAACTTGTTTACATTTGTTTTATTTAGAAATGATTATTTTACATAGCTTTTCAAAATAAAGGTACAAGGTGTTCCATTGTTGCGAGGTAAAAAGACTGAACAAGTGACAAACAAAAAAGATTCTATTTATATATTTTACGAGGATGTATGATGTAGTCCCGCTGATTGGAGCCCATCAAAATGTCCTCGACGTTATGTTTTAAGATATCTAACGAACAGTCCAAACCCCTAAAAGTTAATCATTTAAGCTCTAAAGTAATTCTAAAGACCAGTTTGTCTCCATCTCTTCTACAGTTTCTTCTTCAAGTAATGGATGCTTTTATTTATTCAGCCAGTTCTGACAGATCTTGGCTGTGATGCGCACATTTCTACCTTTTGCACGAGCAAGAAAGCTTCTTCACTCCGTACAAGAATATATAGGGGATGATGCAGGTGTAGGAGGCTGCGATGTAGCTGGCCACCTCCACCAACATAGACGAAGTGTGGATGTTGTTGGAGATGCGCAGGAGCAGATGAGTCAGCCAGCAGACCAGGAACACGGTGGCTACGGCCACCACGCTCTTGGCCGCTCTCACCTGAGTGCTCGAGCTGGGACCTGGCTTCGCTCGCATCTGGCTGGGCCTGGAAGGATTTGGTGGAGGTGGAGGGGAGCTGCAACCTGACGGCCCTCCATTCGGACATGAAGAAGAAGCGGGCACGCCCGTATAAATGTGGGTTGGGGATGAAAGAGCTGTTGCATCTTTTGAGGGGCCTGGACCAGATACAGTGCTGACTAGTCTGTCATTTCTGCTTTCAGCGCTCTTGTTTTCATCCTTAACCGTCTCCTTGGTAGGGTCAGAGTTATGACCCTGTACGCGTTGCTTGTTTCGGAGCAGAGTGATGACAATCTGGACGCTGGCGAATACCGACCCAGCGACGGGGAGAGCGTTAGCCAGGGTTAAATACAAGATTTCATAGGTTTGCCTCGCTATTTCATTGGGGAAGACGTCCAGACAGTCTTCTTTGCTCTCGTTTCTGCCCTCCACTGCTACGAAGAACAAATGCGGGATGCTGAAGACCACCGCCACCGTCCAGCTCCCGGCCAGCAAACAGCCCACCAAGCACAGGCTGTCCAGCTGCACCGGTGCGCCGCCGCGCTTCAGAGAGCCCACGAGCTTCTGGTGCCAGAAGGCGCTGATGAAGAAGGTCGAGTAGATGCTGCTGGTTTCCGAGAGGTCGGCGCAAAAACGAAACACGCCGCAAAAGGTCTCCCCCAGGAACCAGCGGCCGGCGAAGTCCGCCACGGTGTCGGGCAGGTCCACCAGGTAGTTGGTGATGAGGTTGGAGACGGCTAGGTTGATGAAGAGCACCTCGTTGGTGCGGAGGCCAGATCTGTGCCCGGGCAGGGAGCGTATAGCCAGCCAGTTGTTTCCCAGGATCCCTGCCAGAAACATGAGTCCTCTGATGATGGACTCAAACAACTCTTCTGCGTCCATCATTTCACAAGATCAGGGGATGACTTCCAGTTGTTTGTCACTATACTGGTCTCGCAGTTTCCAGAGCTTGTTTTGTGGGATGCTTTTGGTCTTTGGGCGTTTTATAGAGGAGGGTGAGAGGCCGGACCCAATCACACTGTAGAGTTTTAATAGTCTCACTATTTTCTTTTTCCTCAGGGAGCCTTCATCATGCAGTCGCGCTGAGTTGGAGGTGTATCTTTCCAATGAGGGCCCCTCCCATGGAGCTTGCCCTGACTTCAAATAGACTATCGTGTGTTATCTGACGGAGCAACTCTTGAGAGTGCCTGGAGAGCCACCGGTTAAAGCTCCGAGTCCTCTGATGATTTTCAAACAAAATGTTACTTCAGTTCATAAAGACTCATTGGTTTCCACTCAGTAGGATATCTTGAAGGAGATTACGCCCAATTTCATCATTGCACCATTGTTATTCATGCACTCCTGTGCAGTTAAGTTTATCCCTCTTTGCAAAATATGACAAAACGGAGTGGACTTTCTGCATGCAGATGGGATTTTAATTTCAACTCAATTTGTTACAATTTTTTATTTTTTTTTGTGTGAAAAATGAACTCATCGCCCCATTATTTCTCCACACAGCAGTACTTGATTTAACGCCCTGGTGGCGACATACATTTGTGCTTTTCTCATCTGATTGACTCCTTTTTCTTGGGCAGTAGTGCTGCACACAGCTACATTCAGCTGAAAACAATTCATAGCCAACATGGTAATTACAGTGATACACCAAAGGCGCAGTAGTAAAACATGTCAAATATTGCCCATGTCATGAGAGAATATCTGTATATATAAATACATAGGCATTATAAAAAAAAACCAATCGTATATGTCATTAAGACATTATACAGAATTATAAACATTGGGAGGAAAGAAAGCGTTCCATTTACTGGCTCTGTAACATCTGCCTGCATGTAATAACAGACAACATAGATGGTGTGAAGGGACGGAGAGTCTTTATTTCCCATCACTGTCATTGCTGCTTTCGCCATGTTGTTGATTCTCAATTTTAACTAGACTGTGAGGATGCCGTACCATAAATAATGATGCTTTTTTTAATCAACTTGGGCACTCCAATTTAATTTATTGTCCATTGGTATACTCCCAATACTTATAATGCTCAATTGCAGCATTGTCAGCAATTGAGCTTTGTCAGCAATTGAGCTACAGTGTCATGGGGTTCTCACTAACCTGGGGTCAAATATAGTTTTTTCTCTAATTAATGTTAAAATGCGATACACAAAGAGGCAGTCGTCACCATGCAGCAGACTAAATATATCTTCAAATTTGATGTTGTGGCTTTCTGCTTTCATATGTGTTTAATGCGAATACGATAGATGAGCTCATGCAGGTGAAATAATAAGAAAAAAATCATGCAGGTGTGGTTTAATTAACCTAATATCTTATGTCGCCCATTAACCACTAATAAAGCCATGAGTTACAACCTTTTAAAGGAAATTGTACCTGAAATTAAAAACCAATATGTGGAGATTTGAGATGAAGATACGAGAGTTTTTTCCTTTAAAATATGTGATCTGATACTGATAATGAGATTATTTTTGGATTACCATATGTATTAATGTCTTGCTATAATGGACAACAATGGACATGGCTGACCATTTTAATTCTTTAGAAGGAGAGATAAGCTGTGTGTGTGTGTGTGTGTGTGTGTGTGGTTGTGTGTGTGTGTGTGGTTGTGTGTGTGTGGGTGTGTGTGTGGGGGGGGTCTCAGTTTAGTGTAGTAGTGCTCCACGTGATTCAAGAGTAAAAGCTCCACCTTTTAGGATAAACCAGAGGGGCATCTGTACGTTGCTGCTGCTGCTGCTGCTGCGGGACAGACGGACAGGACGGGGGTGTGCGGGACTGAGCTCTGCCGCTGCGGGCTTTGGCTTTCAGGATTTTTTTTTTTTTTCCGCCTCCCTTTTGACTATGATTTTCATTTTCCAGCGCTCTGAGGTTGATGCGGGGCTTAGTCCGAAAAGAGGGGACACGCACACAGACAGGTAGCTACTCGCGCGCGGTGTGTTTGCGGTCGCTTTCGTTATGAGACTCTGATGCGCGCGGAGAGAACAGGATGCCCGTCAGCGGCGCCGACTCACTGAAAGCCGGCGCCTTCATCCCGGTGTGCACGGCCGCCTTCCTTCTGGTCGGCTCCACCTCCCTGTTCCTCGTCTTCACGTAAGTGCCAACCCTTCAAAAAAAAAAAAAAGGGAAAAAGTTGGTGACATGCCCTGTTGGTTTTGCTCCAGAAAAAAATCAAAATCATCCAGACCCCCATCCCTCATCTCATCCGCCATGCATCAGGTAGCCTGTTCTTTCCTCTGAATGTTTGCATGAGCAAAATGAATAATTTTGGCTCCCTCTCTTGGTTGTCATTAACATGAATATTGTAATATAACTTCTGTTTTTTTCACTTTTAGTTGATTTTTCAATTTTTAAAAAGCTGCTTAAACCGTTATTTGAAGGACAAATGTACAAAAAGAGCACCGTGTCTTCTTCTTTTCCACTGACTTCACCCTGCTGGCTGACCCACCCGGGGTGGCTAACATCTGACCTGGTTGGCTCTCAGTGTGGACTAGCCTGGGTGCCTGCCCAGGGCACCCTAAGGACTAAGAGTAAGCACAGTTTAGGGGATAAGCCACCCACAATCAACGTGTCAAAGTGTCATTATGACCCGCGTGTGTCTTAATTTATAGCTGGAAGAAATCAAATACACACTCTTTGTGTCGAGATCAGACAACCTGTTCTGAAAACGAAGTTTCACAGTTGGTGAAAAGTGTTGAAATGGTTAATTTTAGCCTCCTTGTTTTGACCTATTTGTGAGGAACTAGTGGGAGGCTGAAACGACTGCACTCAAGCCAACGCTGGTATGCAGGAAAAAATGAAATATAATATCCCATAATACGCTGGAATCCAATTTGAATGACGACTGTAGGCATGTCAGATTTATCAACATATCTTAAAGGCTTTACATTAAGAAGCACAAAGAAAAAAAACAAACAAGCAGACCAGTATCCTTTCAATATGAAAACCACTCTGATATGCAGTGTTGACTTACAGTTTCAAGGTTCCCACCTAATCAGCTCTATGTCTGTCAGCTGACCCTTGACCTCCGTAGCCATATCTGTCCTAGTTTCTCCTGAATTCTCCAGCAGTGCACCGTTTCCACTGGAATTCTGACACCAGATTGGGCGTAGGGGATTAGGGTCCTCTTGCGAATGCCATGTGATCCCCCCCTCCCCTCCCCCCATCTGGGAAAATGGAGTCTGTGATCTTTGATATGTGATATTTACTTCACTGACTTTCATGATAAATACACATTCATTCAGCAGTTTCAATTGTTTCTATTACATTTTCCTTATTTCCTCTTTCATTTCTTTAGTGACAAAAAAAAGCTGAGAGTTATAGATAAAAGCAGAAATATGAACCCTAGTTTGTTGGCGATCCTCAAATAAACCATGTTTTAAGTGAAATTGTGTCTAGTCTTTAGTTTATACGGTATGATTATACCATACCATGGGAGAAGTATATCTAAAATGTTTCTCTACGTTGAGGTGTTTTGTAAAGAAGTGGTTGTAGGTTAGGTATTGATCTACATCATTATTTCTAAAATGTGAAATGACTTTCATCCATTTGGAGCTCTCCATAGTATACAAACACATTAACTCTTAATTCACAGCTGTCTAAATGCTGAAGTCATCATGAGGCCTTTGGGATGAAAAGATGGGCTCACGGGCCAGAAAAGGGAGAGAAACCCCCGATGAACCCTGTCTACTCTGTGAAAGAAAAGGAAAAATCAATGACCTGTTGACGTGAGAGATTGAGAAGAGACTGCTTAATTGGGGCCGCATTGCTAAACCAGCAAAACCAGGACGCTGCGAATGATTGAACGAACAACTGATGAATCTGCTGCTTCTCATGAGACCAGGGTTGCATTTTAGCTGAAATGACCTTATAACCTAAAACTCTTTCATTAACAGCCCAGTAGAATAGAGCTCATGGCTGAAAAGAATCACCATTTCCAGTGCTTGAGTGCATACATTTGGGTACCCGGAGCGCCTACCAACCCACAAACTATGAGTAAGACAACCCAGTCAGTTCTTTTGTGGGCTGCCTATCAGAAACATGTGATTCAACAAGACATTCCGATTAGCCTCCTCCCCGTCCTATGTCACATGCTGACACCTAAGAATAAACCGCCCCCTAATCCGAATACCTCCAAACTGCGGCTTGAGAACTACCTTTAGATAGGTGCGCCATCATTTCCCATAGACTGGGCTTGGCACTAAAACACAGAGTTCCAGACAGAGGGTAGAAACAAGTATATTTAGACAAACAGTATGAGACATTAAAGCATGTAAACATGTTCTAGTTGAAACCCCATCAACGTATAAGTAAAGAAAACCTCACTGTCTGACTGACCAGTGAGTCCCTACAAGCATCTTTTGCCCTTATAATCTAGAAGTACGTACAGTAGACCTAAAGGCCGTTCATATCAGCATCTAGCTGAAAATGGGCAGAAGCGCCGTCGACTGCCATGTTTGACCAATAACTCGTTTGATGTCCTTGGCGTCTGCTAAGTCAGCAGCTGCAGCTGGAGTGACTCCCTTCCTCTCTATAAAAGCAGAGATGGACAGGTGCCACGCTCTGTTCAGCCCCGCCTGGGTAACACTGAGTCAAAGGGACAACGCTTGTCATCTGCCATAACATCACCTTGGCCTTTTCTCTGGTTACTGTGAATCATGGAAACACAAGTGAATGCCATCCAGTCAGGCCTTGTGGGCTTTTGTTTTGTCACTTTTTATATTGATGATACAACTTTCACCCTCAGATTTAAGCATAAACTGTGCCATCTACTACTATTCATCCAGTTATGTGTGTGTGTGTGTGTGTGTGTGTGTGTGTGTGTGTGTGTGTGTGCATTACTAATGCATGCTTCCATTTCTGTTTCCACTCCGACCTTTATTCTGGAGGCTGTTTTGTTTCCCTTTGTCTGATAAAACTCATCAGTTACCGGTTTCCTGCTTTTATTCCTCTGACCATGAACTGTTGTTTGGGTTAGTGCTTTAATGTTTTGTGCATTGTTAAACTCAAGCTGGTCGCCTACGCCCCACAAAGGCTGCAGAAAAACGTCCCTTGATAATTAAGCTATGGTTCACTCTGCCCGGATTTGAAAATCTTGCTTATCTACCGAGTAAAACCGTTCAGAATACTGACGTGTTGAAACTAGAAAAGGCAACATCTTCTGAAGAGAAGTATGAAAACTGTAGGAGCTAAAACTGCCGACAGGTTAGAATGTCGTTCTTTGCATGTGAAATATTGTACCGGAGTTGCAGTTTAAGTTAAAACACTTGAAGCGAGACTATGTAGCCTTTACTGAACACCGGCCGCTGTGGCTTCAAATTGCAATTACAAATTGCTAAATGCTAATACTGCATATACCATAGACTGTATATAAGAAAGTATATATACACACATTAACAGCACAGATAGAGAAGAGTCATTGAATCAATGGACTGACTAATGCTAGCAACACCGCGTTATCTGTCTAAAGTTTTGCTAACATTTGCTAACAGATCATACTAGATGAAGTAAGGCTTCGGCGGCAAAACCCTTGAGTGCATTCAATTCAGTTAGCTTATGAATTCAACTCTTCATTTGCAAGAAGGCAAAAGTGTTCATATAGTAACCAAATGAGCAGATACTTTATAGTTGTACTCATTTTCTGTACAGTAACGCTGCTAAAGACAATATGATGGTGCACAGTGAGAACGGGGTTTAATAATGAAATGCGGATGACAAACACAAGTCACGGATCACGTGAGAAAGGTTGAACCGATGACACTTGAGTGCACACCATGAGGAGATTTATTGCACAGTCTGTGGGAATTGATTCAACCCAACTGCTTCCTGTACTGTTGTGTCGTCTACGCATCTGACTGATCACATGGCGGTGACGTAACCTATGTAACCTGTGATATTATTTCACTAAAGGAGCGCTGGCTAACAGCGGTAGGGAACTTGTCACTTGACCAACTGTGCGGGTCGTCTGCTGTGCCACTGACCCACTATGAGGATGAGGGCGGCGTGCAGATTGCGAGAGCAGCTTACTGTTCTGTGTGATTTAATACAGCTCTGCCGGGGCTGTTTTCATTAGGTGGGGCTTGTCTTTGCCGCGCTGCAGTGTAATGAACTGTCCCTCCCTGCGGTCCAGATGGCCTCAGGCCGATGATGGAGGCCCACCGTCCACACAGAGGCGTCCACGCTGTAATCCGGTCCACAAAAAAATCAATCAGATGAACTTTTACAGGCTCCCAGTTCACCTTCAGTGTTTCATTTTGCAGCATTTATTTGTAGCAGATTGCATTTGTCATAATACCGTTTTTCTTTCAGTCCGTTGTTCAACCTCCACATCACGTGCAGCGCATTCTCATTCTTTTGAACAAATTGCAAAGGCCTCGGCACATTCGCACAAATGATTATGTACGATTGTCTGTCGGTTCCTACAATGTCAATTGCTTATGTCATGCTGATCAAAATGTATTACACCGGTTCTCTGTTGAATAGTCTAACCCTCCAAATCATCGAGGCATTCGCTCATTGCGTAAGTCGTTTCATGCAAAATGGTTGAACCAGCTGTCATAATATTTTACATGTGACCTAAATTGATGAGTTGTTCTCAGGTGAACCAATGATTAACCATCTCTAACTGTACGGTTACATCTACAGTTCTGTCTATGTGGCGTTTCCAATGTTTCCATTTCTCTTTTTTTCCTGTTTTTCCTTTGTGCCAAGCGGTGGTTTAAAACAGTCTGTAAAGGTGAATCCTGTCAATCTCTTGCAATCAATCTCCCGCATACAGCAGTGTGTGACTTTGTACTATTGGAATTCATACAAGCAACAGAAAAAGGGCAGCCATGTGTATTATCAGTCCTTGTCATTTATTGACAACACGGCTAAGCATTTTGACGATCTTCTTATTCTCAGGGCACTGGCATGTTTATTGACATAAATATTTACTTTTGAGAGACTGATTCGAGAAATGTACCAAAGCTGTAAACTAATTTGGTGAATGCATTGACTTTTGTAATCTATCCGTCTTATCTGGAGAGGAGAAAGAGGAATAACAATCTTATTTCATAGACTCGGGGTGATGATTTATTATTTAGATCTTTTGTAGAATAATGAGAGGAGTGTTTTAACGAACCAGCTCGAGTTACACAGATTAATGATTCTGATCAGCTACAATAGTTTAATCACATGTCAAACACGACCATGTCAAGTGAGAACAACTTTGACACACATCCTCGGGAGAGGGGGGGAGGGCTCCTTAATCTTTTTCTCATATATTCACGGCCTCCTCATCATTTCCTTATGCTAAATTTGTTCCAAGTCTACAAAGAAATTCTTGTCCTATTTCCATTTTTTATTCTCATTATCTGTTCTCAGAGGGTCATCTGAAGGTATGGGCTACCAGTAGTGAATGGTTTGGATTTCTGTCATGATATCCAGTGTATAGTAATGTAAAGTGTGATATAAGGTGACTGCACAGTCTGTATGTTTAGCATCTAATGTGAGGAATCCACAATGCACTGGTCGGACAGAAATGGTCTATAATCCAGAGATCATAATCCAGGGATTACTGGGTTTGCAGCTGGCATGGCATCAGCAGGCGTTCCTCTCGAGGGGGTGGACCCCTCCCCCACAGCCTGAGGGGGGGGAGTTTGGGGATTGGAGCCTCACTGGGATGAAGTGCATAATTGAGGCAGATGACTCTTAATTTTCGCAGTCTTTTCACTTTCGATAATACTTTTTGTTTAATCACTCATTTGTGTTCACGGTTTACTTTGCCACGGAGTCATAGCTGCATGAAATAAGGCATGAAAAATAGAAGGAGACCCTGGTTATACTGGTGCCATATGGTACATGATTATTGTTTTTCTTTACCTATGTTGAGACCGTACCGAAACTGTAAAATGTGATCATTCAAATAGAACATTCCCATACAGTATCTATGTAGGTTAAACATGTGATGTTCAATCAAACACTGTTAATATAATCCAGTGACTCTTTTCCTTTGTAACCTGATTACACTGTCCCTCCCTCTAATCTCACACAGAAGAGATATAATCATACTCGCAGTATTCAGTTCACTATAATTTAGCACGTCCACACACACCGAGTCTGAGGAAGCGTTACACGATTGTTCTCTCGGATTTTAGGCCAATTAGAAAGACGGAACACTCTCGATACTGTGGGAAAAAAACAATAGTTTCACATATATAGTTTATTAGTTTAGAATCATCTAAATTTAATTTGACCCCAATTCCACAGTTTTGAATTAATCATCTTTCTTTCGTCTTCTTGCTCATTCAGATTAACGTTTGCTTTTGCTGGACATCTTTAATTATGACTATCTGACTGCTTTTTATTGTCAGTGCAATGATGATGTGCAAACTTTATTCAAACTGATTCTTTTTTGCAATTCTTGTGAACCTAGGGCTACAAGAATTAACGATTATTTTCATTATTGATTAATCTGCTTATTACTTTCTCAATTAATCAATTAGTTATCTTGTCTATAAATGTCCCAAAATCCACAGATATTCCGTTAACATGTTAACAAACAGAGAAAAGCAGCAAATTCTGATGGGCATCTTTTACTCTTATCTGACATTTTACAGATTAAATAATTAATTGATAGTTAGTTGCAGCCCTGAAGTGTCCAGATCTGCCTCATTGTGTGACACGGATCAGAAAGGTGCGTGCCTGCAGGTTGCGGGAGAAACCCCATCATTTAATCCCTGGTTGTGGGCACTGTTTGGACACACTAATACATGCTTATCTTCCACTGTGAACAATTACTTTTGGGATCCAGTGCTCCCAACAGAATAAATGGGATGAAGATTATCCCTTCAAATCTTTGTTGGAGCCTTGATTTGTGTGTTAACTCAACACAAGGGATGGATACTTAAATATAAAACCTCTGATTTTACAACGTGAATTCTGCTTCGCATAAACACTCATGTACAGGAAATGTGTTATCATTTTCTTCCTTTTCTTCCTGTGTTTGTATATTTAGATGCCCGTGGCTGGCTGTAAACATCTGCCCTGCTGTGCCGCCATGCTGTGCCATTGTCTTCCTTTTTGTGCTGGCCAACTTCACCATGGCAACCTTCATGGATGCTGGTGTTCTCCCAATGGGTTAGTAATCAAAGTGATGTTATGCGAACAGCGGAAGACTCGTCTTTGTTAATTCGTGGGAGTGTTATTTTTTTTACCAGTTTCATTATTCATTTTTGTTTCCCCAGCCAACGAGGACGAGGACAAGGATGATGAGTTCCGTGCTCCGCTGTATAAGAATGTGGATGTGAAGGGCGTCCAGGTGCGGATGAAGTGGTGTGCGTCGTGTCATTTTTACAGGCCTCCGCGCTGCTCCCACTGCAGCGTTTGTGATCACTGTGTGGAGGTTAGTGCATGGACAAAATCTAAAGAGAAGAGACGTGTCATTAGCAGTTTTAAGTAAGAAAACACTACATTCAGGGGAGAAAACTAAACACTTTAAATGGGGATAATGAGTGATAAGAGCGTGGATGGACATATCGGGGAATACAAGTGAGTATAGCGCTGTGAATGAGTGTAGCACTGCGTGTGGGGAAAGTCAATAAACGGGATTTCTGCAGCGTGAATGATGGACAGAGTGTGATGGAGGGAGAGAGATCTCATTAATCAGGTTAATCCTTTTCTCAGATCCCTGGTAGCCTCAGTAGAAATACAATTTGAAAAAGGGTTCAGACTGCATTAAACTAAATGTATTAAGAAAGCAGTTTTCAACAAATGCTTGATTTTCAGTGCTGCAAATTAGTGGTTATTTCAGTGTGTCATGCACTTTTTTTTTTCTGGCTCTTTAATTTGAGTTCTCTTTTCCCACAATTACCCCTCAGGATTTTGACCATCACTGTCCCTGGGTGAACAACTGCATCGGGAGGCGAAACTACCGCTACTTCTTCCTGTTTCTGTTGTCGCTGACGGTTCACATGATCGGCGTCTTCACCTTCGGACTCATATATGTCCTGCACCACAAGGACGAATTATGGAAGCTGCACTGCACTGTCACGTATCCTTATACACACGTGTGTATCTGTGTGTTTCTTCGTGTGAACATATTAAACCGTTATAGTTGAGACTAATTGGAAGCAGTTTTCCTTAACAGTGTGTGCAGTTTGGTAGTGATCAGTATATCAGGGCTGTTTCTTCTCCCGGTCCTGGGTCTCACTGGTTTCCACTTTTACCTGGTGTCCAGAGGACGCACCACCAATGAACAAGTCAGTTTGATTTGATTGAAATCAATAAAGTAGATCTTTAAGACTTAACAATTATGTTATTTTGATATATTGTGTATTATTATCTCCCTAACACATGCTTTTTTTAAATTTGGTATTCTTTTTTTCTACATCTGTACAATAATGAGTTATATCCTGGTGTACTTTAATCTCTTCATGATCCCACAGGTAACTGGGAAGTTTCAAGGAGGTGTAAATCCTTTCACGCGAGGTTGTTGCAACAACCTGGAGTATCTGGTTTGCAGCCCAATCTCTCCAAAGTAAGAGACATTTTCTCTTCCTAATCCACCATTTTTTTTTGGAAGCCTTATATCTCACTGGCTGACACCCTGTTTGTCATGTGACACCAGGTACACAGCGAGGCCCCGTAAGAAAACAGTGATCCACGTTCAGCCTCCGTTCCTTAGACCAGAGATTGACAGGCAGAGGCAAATGAAAGTCAGGGACAATGGGATACAGTGTCAGGATCTCCAAAATAAAGTACGCAAAAACAAATTACATGCCAAATTCTAAGGATTGTTACCTCAGTTGTCAAGGGATCAGATCCCTCATGCGTCTCTGTTTTTTTTCTCCTTCCAGCGAACGTCAGCCGGAGCTGTCGAGCTGTCGGATATCAAACAAATGAAAACTCCCCCACCGCTGCCACCAAAACCAGATCACGGCCAGCTGAAAAGCCAACTGGCTGTCATGGATGGTAAGATGACACATATACAGTATACTGTATATAACCAACCACATATTCATACAGTATACATCCTTGTATAGTGACAAAGATACAGCAACATCAAGGATACATCTAATTCTATAAGATAGCAGAGTCAATTAAAGGATATGGATGGTGAGATTTTTGTGGTTGTTGACAATGATCCTACAGACAAGTGTTGTCTGTATAGCCAAAACCGGATACCACTTATTGCTCTGTGCCTCATCAAGGAGCCACACAGTTGCACTGGGTGACATGTTCCTTCATTATCAATGAGGGCACTGCAGTTTATTTTGAGTCGATCCCACATAGACATGTCGTGGTGCTGTAATTACATACTGACTAGTGCACCAAGTGAGTGTTAAACTGCAGCTGAAAGTAGTCCCCAACAAATGCAATATTTCCTCCATTTGAGTAATGTCTCTTTTAAAAAATGTCAATTCATATTTGTGACTTGCTTTTTAAAGATTTACATTTTCAGTCGGGACCAATGGAACGAAATAATTCAACATTGGTTTTGGTCTCCTCATGGAATTTGTTCACAGTGAGAACAATATAGAATGTCTGTAATCCGTACCTTAACCACAAAGTGTTTTCTTTTCCAGAGATGGGACACCACACCAAAACTATCATTCCTGTATCCATTCCCACTGTGCCACAGCTCCGGCCTGTCCTGGATGCCATATCAAGAGGATCGTCACCTATTCCTCCAGAGCAGGTGCTTTTCAGTCTGATATTAATTTGTTTTATTGTTGGGGCATGAGCCTCATTATCCAAGTCCTGGTTTTGATCCTTGTCTGACGGACATTTCTGTCTGGTTTTTATTGTGTTGTTTAGTTGCTGAAGACATCAGAGCAGCAAGGGAACAACAAAGGCCCTGACGTCCGCTCTGACCCTAAACAAAGCCCTGGGAGAGGCAGCCTGCAGGCCAGCCTTCCTGTCCAGGCCAACACCATCTCCAGCTCGCTGCAGCTCAACTCTCTGACACTCAACACCCGATCTCTCACCCTCAAACACAGCAATCGCCACGGTAGCAAATCTCAGCTACCTGCCATGCATGGTGACGGTTTGGGGTCCAATCCCTCACCGGGGACCATCAGCTCTTCCTGCCTGCTGGCCAACCCCAGCAGCAGCAGCCTCACTTATGATAACCTCATTAACCCTGCAGAGCCTCAGTTCCTGGCTCAGAGAGGGGCTCCTCCAGTCGGCTACCACTCTCACTTTTTGGCTATGGGCATAGATGGGTCTGTGGTGCAGCGGCCCCCTTCTCACGGCTACAGTCCCGTGTTTATGGGCGTCACCAGACAGTCTCCTCAGCATCGGGACCCCTCACCTTCTCTGCAGGGCCGCACCTCAAGGGAGCCCTCACCTTCCTTCCAAGGTTTCACTCAAAGAGACCCTTGTCCGGGTTTTCAAGGGCTGATGGCAAGAGACCTCACATCCCAAAGCGTAACATCACGAGACCTCAGCCCTCCAGGTCTGACGATGCGGGATAAGACCTCTCAAAGTCTACGAGACAGCCTTCGCGATCTTGGCCCACAGGGTTTGACACCTCAGAAGTCTGCAGCTGTACGCTATGACTTTTCAAAAACCATCATGGCATCAATCCACGAGAGACGAGAGGTGGAGGAGAGGGATAGGATGCTGCGTCTCCAAGCCAGATCCCAGGCCCTGTATGGCCCAGATGTGGGGATCTATGACATCCCCAGCAGGAGGAGTCTACCACCAGACAGCATCCGACCTCTGGGCTCCCGTGGACCAACTCCTCCAGCCTACGGCTCAAGGGAGTTCCTGATGAGTACAGGCATCCTCGGTTATGGCATGAGGACCTCACCTCTCTCCAGCTCCTCCACGTCGTCTCTGACTCGAGGCCCGAAAACCTCCAGCTCTCCTCTGCAGAGCAGCAGCAGCAGCAGCCTGCAAAGCAAAGGCAGGTCTTCTTCTCCGGCTTACTGCCATCCTGACAGACAGACTCAACCCCTCCCTTCCTCTACAGCCACTCTGCCTCGCTTACCCTCCTCCTCCAACTCCTCCGCCCTCTCGTACGCCTCCTATGCCACCGCGAAACGATCCTCGCTCCCATACTCCTCTGAGGGGAAGGACTCAGTCACCCTGGGAGCCCTGAAATAATATAAAAATACTCAATGTCTCTGATGGTGTGAATGAATCATCTATGCAGTGTTAGTCTCAGTCTTCACAGCTCCAAAATACTTTGTAAATACGAGGCCATATGGGACTTTACTGTGTGGGAGGGAGAATACACAGTAATGGACGAACTTAGAAATATTCCTGAAAATGTCATGCAAGTTTGACAAATCAGAAAAACGGTGAATCTCAGGATAGTCGTGCCTCCTCTTACAGACAGAGCGAGCTCTATAAACTCAGTCAAAGCAGAAGAGCTATGTGAAGAATACATATTAACTTATTATCTGTTTGTATGTGTTTTGATATTGCTTTTGTGACACGATGTAATTCCATATCATTTAATATTTCCCCCGCTGCAAAATACCCATTTTAATAGAATTTTGTAGTTGTTTATATGAATAAACTTATTTTGTAATTTTCATTTCCGTTTTTTCCGTTATTTTCTTGTGTGAATGGCTACCAATGAAGGCCCCTGTGCAGGGCTACAATGGAGTTTGATGAAATTGTGACTGAGGCTTTACATATTGAAAACACCAGCTGTTCGAAGCAGCCAAAGAAAAAAAGCACTTTATTGTCGGTTATCAATCTTGCTTCAAAGATACTATACTTACGCTACATTTTCTTTCCCGAATCCAAGATCATTTCAGCTCATAACTCAAAAGATGACATGCTTTATGGAGATAGTCTAAATGCACTTTCTGTCACTTCCATTTAAAACTGTTACAGTGCATACATTTGTATAGCAGTGATGATAGTACTGCTGGTGAAATTATGACTTGTAATGGGGATGATGATGACATATAACACTGGTGCATTGATTCACTAGTTCTGCAATGACAGTTTTTACATTGATTTTGTGTATGGCACCCTCTAGTGAACCGTTTGAGAAGGTGGTTGGTTTGTTTTTGTTTAAAATGTTAGAAAACAGCATGTTGCAAGTAATGGAAAAGACCAGAGAGGCGCTATAGTGAGACCTATATTCCAAAAGGTCCATTTCACACAAATGTTTATTATCACTGCAGGCAGTTCACATTAAAATAATAAGAAAAATCAAGAATAATATAAAAACCGCATAAGGCATACATCTTCGTTCTACCTTTTTTAATTTAATCAAGAGAAGAAAATCATCTGTATGAAGTGTTTTTTCATGGTCAGATGAGGAATGCAGGGTTGCATTTTGTGTTTTTCTTTTTCAAACCGCTTCAAACGTCTCCTCTTCTGGCTGGCCTTCAGTCTAACGACAGGCTCGTGAGTCATTCAGGGGCTTTGTGACAGAAATATTTCTAATTACCTTGAGCCGTGATCGACAATCACACATTTTTGTTTTGGCAATAAATGACGAGGCTTGACACTTTGAGGTTGGAGCTTTTTCATGCGAGTTATTGTTGCACTTAACCTAGCAGGTGGGAAGTGAAGATTTGACAACAGGAAAGCATGAAAGGATTGAGTAATTTCAACTTTTTGGCAGAAATTTACAACGCAGCTGAATAACTGACAGATCTCACACCAGAATGGTAAATTGGGATGTAAAAACAACTCACTTGTACAGGCTTAGTTAAGACCCGACAACAACAAAAGATGTGGCGCATGAACAAAAAAAAAAGCCTCTCACAGTTAGAGTGCCAGAGAGCAACAAGTGAAGTGTAAACAACATTGTTCAGGACTCATCGGAGCAGCTGTTCTTGCCAAAAATGTTTCACAAGATTACAGATTACATGACACTTTCTTTTCACTCAAAAGATTGTGCAAACGAGTAATTCAGAGAAGTGAGATGAGGACAATACCAGGGCCTTTAAAGCATCATTAGATACCAAGAGGGACGGAAACAAGCTGCAATTCATACGAGTCATTGACGTCCTCTACTCGAGTATGTGAGCCAGAGCTCAATGGATTTTTTTAAGTGTTGTTTTATTTCTAATCTATAATTTTCTTTTTGCAGGGAAAGTATGCAGCATCGACCACAAACCACTGCGATCATTGACTACAGCAATTTGCAACACCTGTCTTTATTTAAAAAAAAGACCTCATGAGAAGCACCTGATCTCTCATTACTACATGTGGGATCCAACTTCAATTTGGAATTAAAAATATCCTGTTTGTTAAAGGAACAGCTTCCCAGTTTTTCACATACTCACATGTATAGGCCTACACTGAAACAGTTTTTGGGCCTTGCAAATGTTCCTCGTTCCTCGACCTGAATGTGAGAGAAGTTTTTCTCCTCCCAAAAATGGGGCTTCCAAGCGTTCTCCATGACTGGATGAATGTATGTCTACATTAAGCCAATAAACATATTTTTCTCCTGGTTTCAGTCCTCCAAAACAACGTTTTCCTCCCAAAATGTTACTTTTCCAAAACGGTCATCACAGTGCATGCATCTTAAAACAGGAAATAGATTGGCAAACTGTGAATGAGAGCATGATTACAATGTGTTTTCTTAACTCGTAGGCTGTTATGTCTCTTGCTCTGGAGTCTCTTATTATTCTCTTGTAATGTTGAAGTTATTATTGTTTGTCTCAGGGAGGTATTGGTGCTGAACTATTGAAATTACTCTCCTATTTCAAATCCAACACAATCCAACATTTTACAATTCAGTGTTCACATCCATATATAATCACTGCTTGACTTTTTCCTGTTCTTGCACAAGTTAGTGCTGTAGAAATGATTGTATGTCGGGATAGACATTTGGGATGTTCTTCTGTTGTTTTTCTTCCTTGCACTCTTTCTTGTTGTTTTCTTGCTGCTCTCCTTCCTCCCCCTCATCCATCTTAGTTCCTGGAGCCGGAGGTAAAATGGTAATGACGGTAATGATAAGGCTGCTGTGCAATGAGGGAATTGCAGGTCGTTGGATCAAAAGTATTCTGTGCAAAAGTGTCTGAGAAGCCCTCCGTCTTACATGCTATTTCTAACAATTTGCCACCATATCAAATTCGTTTTAGAAGAGACTGTTTGCCTCATACTCTACATTTGTCTCAAATATGTCTCAAGCTGCAAGTATGCTACTTTAGCAATGCCCGATATATAAATCACACCATCTGGTAGTTTTGCATTATAAACATTAGACATTTCTTAATGTAATTATTTTTTTAAGTCAAAACTGATGGCAACATTATTTAAATAAATAAATAAAAATACAATAAAAAAGGCTATACATATACATCCTATAGTTTTGTGCAATAAAAATGAAGAAAAAAAAACTTTTTATGGAAATGGTGGTCAGTGTCTGTGGTTGATTGGAGACAACTGGTTAACCCTGAAGGTTACCTGAACAAGAGATACATATTTAACTTTTATTTCCAGACACATGAGTCCATATACAACAAAAACAAATACAACAAAAACTAAACTAAACTAAAGTCAACCTTCTTGGCCACAGCGTATATGTCTTGTGGACCAAAACTACATTTACAGGTAAGTTTTTCAGGTGTTTAATGAGTTGTAGCTGAGCAGCCAACTAGCTAGCTAACTAGTCTTTAAACTGACGTTAGCCGTGCATGTTTCCCCTGTGAATGTGTGTTTGGTGGCTCATTTAACAAGCTAAATGGAAGACGTGTGTTCAAGTCTGTAAGTAAGATAAGAAATGACACTTTAGCTGGAAAGCTAATGTGTGTATAGTTGTTCAAAGTTTGCTGCTGTCTGGGACCTTCTGCTCTATATATGATAATGGTTGATGTAGGTGATAAAGAAAGTAAAGGGCGCCATCTTGAAACCTTTTGGTTTCTGATTTATTGCTCAAAGGAGGACACATCCTCATGGATTTATTAAGCAGAACAGAGCAGTAAGCGGTTGCAGACAAGAACAAACGAGCAAAAGTTCAGTTGGACATTAAAGGGTCTGTACACCCAATTAGGCCCCTTCTAGAGCAGCCATTTTGACATGTAGCAGAGTAAACACAGGTGTAACTGATTAGATTAATTATGGTTCGATTAAATTTAGTGTGTCGTAGTCATTCCAGTGGGCCAGCATGCACAATACCAGGGCCCTGGTATATACTGTGCTTAAATTAAACAGGGTCATAATTAATGTAATTAGTTCCACCTGTGTGTGACTCTTCAAGTGGTAAAATCAGGCGGAAACCTCCGGTTCTGCTCAGTGAAACCAATGCGGAAGTGTCTTAAAAACCTGCATCCCCTCTACTGACCAGCAGGGGGCGACTCCTCCGGTACAAAATGAAGTCAGATTGTATGGAAGTCTATGAGTAAATGACCCTACTTCTCACTTGATTTATTACCTCAGTAAACACTGTAAACTGTATCTTTTAATGTAAGATAATATGATTTCGTATTAGAAAGAAAGAAAACCACTTGAACACAGACGAGGACTGTGATTTTGTCCACCATGGACAAAATACGGATCTCTTCATGGCCATGTGGACAGGAAGAAATAAATACTGCAACTTGAAAAAATGTGAACTTACGCTTTAAAAAACGTTCAAGACAGATATCTCAAAATCAGTATCACTTGATACCAAAGGTTGTAAACTGAGATTTTTTTAAACTTTTTGTAATTTGGGTTAACTGACCCTTTAAAGCCTTTAAAAACATTACACTGAAGCAAATACTTTATCCTTTTACCTAAAGCTAATGTGTGGCTACAAACCTCTGATCACCTTTGGTCTTCAGTTCAGACATAGGGATCACCAAAAGGTTTGTGTTGTCTCAAATTAAACCTAACAATGGTAATAATATTCATTTATCAACATAGCAATCAATGATTACTGTCCAATAGTTCAATCGTATTCAGTTCTGCCTCTGGATCACAGATTATTCTGCGTTGCCATGGTTCTTCTTGCATAGCTGCATGATATTATGGTAAACAGAGCAATAAAAAAAGAGGATTCATCTGAGGAATATGTACTCATAATAACCTCTTGACTCGAGTTGATTTCATTCGAATCAATCTCCAAGTCACCTAAATATTTCATGATACTTCTAAAGATGCTGGAGATTGACCTACATTTGTGCCACTGACTCTCTGTAGCAGCATGTGTGTCTCTTTCTCTCAGCTCATTGATATGCCTGATCATCAGAGGCATTGCTGAACTGGCTGATTGTCATTTCAGCTGCAGTGCCACTGATGCATTTCACTCCCTCCCTGGGCTCCCTGGTGGTGTGATTAAGCACTTGCTGCAGTCACACTTGACAAAGAGGAGTTGGATTAATAGCACCCTGGTTTTCCCCCTCAGAGGCTGCTTATTTTATACTATTTACATTATTTATCAAATCACAGAGAAGGGATGCATTGTAGTGCCGCTTCAGGAGAACTTGTTCCTCTATATGGACAGTCCTGACTTGTAGCTATTGCTGTTACTATAGCTCACCAAGGGGGTGCAGCAGTAAGTCGATGAAAGTCAGGACGTCAGGTGCTTTGTCATTTATAGTCTGAGGGCAAA